TGTGATGGGAATGAGGGTATGGCCTGGCATCGTGGGAGAAAGGAGGCATGGCCCAGCTCCTACTGGGTGTGCAAGGCTTGGGGTTTGAGAATTTGGCTGTGGGGAGGGTGTCTGTATGAATGGCTACTGCTCCCCCACCACCAAATTTCCCAGCCCATGCAGAACCCCGTGGTCCAGATGTGATGGCTCCATTGGCCCATTTGGCTTGTGGGCCAAAGGTTGAGCACACCTGGAGTATTTTCAAAAATCATGTTTCTAAAAACGTTGTTAGATTATGTACACAGTGATCTCATCACATCTCTTAGAGTCAAAAGGATGTTTTAAAAACACTTAGAAGATTAAGTATTTTTCTAAATTGGTGTGTGGAGACTTTCACAATTAAGATACTTCTCATGCCAATCTGAATTTGAAAAATCCTATTTAAGAAGAGAAAACCAAGTTCTTTATTAAAAAGCAAATGGGTTCTAAAGCTGCCAAAGAAAAGAAGTGAAACAGTATGTAGAGAAGTATTTACCTCTTAATGTAAAATAAACACTGGTGTTTGGAAAAGGTGAAATGTGAATGTACAGCAACAATTATTTTGCTACTTCACTCTGAGTAAATATTAAGAAAGCATTGACTGGCACTACTGCATTTTGAGTCGTTTTTCTTTTGATTTCACAGTGTAAAACTGAATTGTAAATCTTACCCTGATAGTCTGCTTTCTACCCTATTCTGGTATTTCTAATGAAAATCTTTTTTAAACTTCCTGCATTACACTTGTGTTATTGCAGGTGAATACATTTTAGGTCACAGAAAACAAGTAATGTTATTTGGGTATCACAGGCTCATTTCACATTTTCTCTCAATCAAAAGCTGAACAGAAGATGTTTTACCTTCTTATGGAACTACCTTTGGGAACTCTGTCCTCTGCACCACCTTCTTCTCAGAGTACAGGTTATTTTTCATAAGCACAGAAAACGTTTCTCTTTTTCCTTTAATAGTGGACGAGAAGGCCAGGAGACAGGCCTGTTTTTAAATAATGCATATCTCTTTTGGTTTTTGAGGCACATCATTGCCTCATAACTTCAGTTTTGGTGTTGCTTGCTATCTGACGTAAATCAAATCCTGGTTTTATGTACAGGCATCCCACATCTTACACACATTTAACCTGCATGAATTCAACTATACGCAGGTGGGGAGGGGGGGCGGGGCTTGAGTCTGCACGCGGCGCTGCCGCTTACCTGGAGGCCCAGCCACCACCACGCTGCCAGCGGTGACTGCCTCTGCCTCCCAAACCTCTCGTCCCCGCCCATGATCCGGGGAAACCTCTCGTCACCGCCATGGAGCCGTGCCCGGAGCTGTGTGGCCGGGCGCCAGGTGTGGTGGTGGCCAGGCGGTACGCAGCCATCCCCACCACCACCCTGTGCTGCTGCCAGCTGCACAGCTCTAAGCGCGGCTCCGCGCCGGCAGCGGGAGGTTTTGGAGGCAGAGGCAGTCACCACTGGCATGGTAATATGTGATTTCAGTATACGCAATTTTCACCTTTATGTGCTGCCTTTAGAACATAACCGATGCGTAAGATGCGGGATGCCTGTATTCACTTTTGAAGTGGGATGATCAGATAATTTGAGTAGATAGAACTTTTTAAATGAAATTTTAGTCTAAGGTTAGTCACTTAATTCTGCCTCAATATGCGGGCATGGTCCAAGAAAAGATGCTGGCATTGTAATATTTCATAGCTGGTTCAATTACTTCTATATCAAGTTTGGTCACATTTAAAAGTGAAACGTGTGTGTGTGTATTTTTTTTTTTTCTATTCTACTTGCCAGACATGCAAACTCAAATTATGACATGAAAGTCAGATTCTTTCTGCTAGCACAGTACCACCAGTGTGAGAGAATTTACTTTTGGAGCTTAGGTAACAACTGATGATTCTCGAGCCAAAATGAGCCAACCCTTTTCAAATAACTGAATTTGGTCTTCTAAAGTAATAGCAGTAAAAACAGGTTTCTATGAAAGTATGGCGGCATAATTCAGAAGACCCGCCTCATGTTGATATTTAGAATATAGAGTTGTTGACACTTTGGGGGGGTTTATTTCCATAAGAGCTTCCATTTAGTGGATCAGACCACAGCTCCATCTGGCCTGGGATCCTTCCTCTCTCAGTGATAGAGTGTAGATGCTGAGGTGAAAAGGACATGTCCTGAATTTTCTACCACCTGCTTCTGTCCCACAGCAGCTTGTAACAGAGGTTTAGGAAGTTCTGATTTGGAGGTTGCATCTCTGTCTTCCATGTTCAGTATTTACTGATGGGCCTTTCCTTTTTTAATTTTTACAATTCCCTTTTGAACTGAGCTAAAGTATCAGGCCTCCACAATATCTTGTGGCAATGAGCTCCACAAGTTAATTGCATGTTATGTGAAATAAAACTTCCCTTTGATCGTTTTAAAGCAACTACCTAATAGTTTCATGTCCTCCTGTCTCTGTTCAGAACATATTCTCTGACTTTTCCCTCCAAATGGCTAAGGAGAGTCAGGTAAATGCTAAACCCCTGTTTACTTTCTCTGCTCTATTTAATATGCTGTAGACCTCTGTCATGTCCCCCCTCAAGCATCTCTCCTAAGATGAAAAGTCCTCCCCTATTTTGTCCCCTGTCTAGAAGCCCCTTCGTGCCATGATCATCCTTATTGCCATTCTCTGTACCTTTTCTAGATCTATATCATCTCTTATGATGGAGGGGCCCAAAACACCACAAGGTGTGGACACAGCATAGATTTTATAAAGGGGTATAATGATGCTTTCTGTTTTGTTTACTTTTCCTTTATTAATAATTCCTAATATTTTGTTTGTGTGTTCAACTGTTGCTAAACACTGAGCTGATGTTTTTTGTGAAATGTCCACAATGACTTTCTGGGTGGTAACAGCTAAAATGTATATGTGCACTGTGAAGAGTTCTATTTTGGGTTATTTTTTTTCTTAGTAGTAGTAGGCTTGATACTTTTGTGACCATCAAAAAGTCATTTTCTGCCCCAAAATGCATAAATTTAACTAGTTTTCATGGTTTCAGATGGAAGGAACTTTACAGATCATCGAGTCAACCCCCTTGCACTTGGGCAGGAAAGACTGCTGGGGTCAGATGACCCCAGCAAGGTGAGCGTCCAGATGCTTTTTGAATATCACCAGGGTGGGTGACTGTACCACCTCTGGGGGGAGCCTGTTCCAAAACCTCAGAACTCAACT